AGATATCTCATCTGTAGCGGTACGTTGATTTTCCAATATCAGTGTAAAGCACACTGACTATATTAAGGGATCCGCAGTGGCTTAGAGCCGCGTCACTGATCTTAAGTATAGCATAGCCTTGCATCAAGGGACGGTTAGGTTTCTGCTCTATGGCAATGGCGCTTCACATCCGACTGTCGTGTGATAACAGGAAAGTGATATGGCCTTAGCGGGCCCAGGTTGGGCATATATGGGCCTGCTTTTCGCCGGAACGAAAGAGTCTCACTTGTTTATTTTTATGCTACGACCGCGGAAGGAGTGATATTACATGGTAGCAACTTAATTTAGTAGACGCATACATTGCGGAAAAAGGGAAATTTATTCTATTCATTTTTCGCCCCACAAAACATAACTGTGTTTTGAGCCCGCCTCTGACATCGACGTATTGCTATACATCCTTTTTCTCTGTCATTTCGTCGCTTATTAGCTCCTGATGCTCAATTTGATTGAGAGAAATCTATGCTTTCGCTACAGGAATTTACCGAGATAACATTTGAAAAATCAAGTTGGATTGAAAGCCGCTTTCCAGTAAGACCGAATTCGCCTCTCGTAGCGTCAAAGGATCCCAGAGTTTAACAAACAATTAGGTAAAGCCGGTAGAGGGATGTATTGCGTAATTAAGCACAAGAAAGAGCAGCTAGCATCGACACCGCGACGTTTCCGTGCAAGCGTCTTGAAGGATTTTCTCCACCACGCGATAGAGCGCTTCGTCTGATAGCTTTCTGTCGGCGATCGGCGGTCGACATGCTAAATCTGGCCCCTAGTACCATCGCCAAATCGCATATACCTCTATCCGACACAATAGTCATGTCAACAAAAGTTATGTTAATGATAGGCTAAGCTGTTTGATCTGCTACAGCGGTTGTGCGGACAGCAGCGAGAGGGGCCATCTTGATCGGGTGGCCAATTTATATCGCAATGTGGTATAATTGCATACATTTGTTATCACACGAAAAAATTAAGTTCATACTTTTGAGCTGTTCAACACTCTGTCGGAACTGGCAGGCTGGAAATATGCGCCGAAGTGTTTTAATTTCTGACACGTTTCACACATGCACAAATATGTGCATGCTCCTTAAACTAGTCGGATCACATAATAACCGAGCAGTAAGTCTTTTCTTTTCCGTATGGACACTCAAAGGTATCGTGTTCCTCAGACAGTTATCTATGCTTGAGAACCTCATCATAAATCATCCCTTCTCGCTGAGTGACACGCGGGTCTGTTATGTCACAATAAGCATCGGGATAACGAATACCGGTACAGGCATGGATCCACGCGCCTCGGTAAAGTGACATCTCAAACATCTTTTACTCCACAACTTTGAGCATGGCAACACATGTTATGCCTGAGCCGTACATTTCAGGTATCACCTCGTCAATTGGCGATAGCATCATCGTGATTTGCGACAGCTCAAAGCCAGTGCGGCGCGAGCGCTTCCGACACCAGAAAAAGACGACTCGGTTTTTTCTTTCATCAACGGTATGAACGACAACGAAGGATAATTATCCTGCCATTTTCGACAACACGTGATCAGTTTATATCACAAACAGCTTCAAGCTAAGCAGGTGCACCGTAAATTTGGCAAGGATGTGACCTCTTGAAATGGATCCTTGTTGTAAGTAGGGTATTTCTCTTTTTCTCACTAAGCTAGCGGGACAGAGATGCCATCGCGCTCAGCATCTGCTTGAGCTAAGTCTACGGCATTGGCTGAGGCCCAACAGACGACAAGAAATGGCCGACTTGATTTTGAAAGGTCCAGAATCAGGACGCATTAGGATTTTTTCACTGCCATTAAGGCCGGCTCTACTGCCGCATCCCATCATCCTTATGCATCCATTTTTTTAAGGGGATTCGTGAGGGATCGTGCTAGGTCGGCATAATGTTCACTAAATTTGTTTGAAGTGGCTGGCCAGGTGAAACGACTCCCCCTACCCATTTGGGACAGAGGCACGGACTAATTTTTAGTATCCTTTGGTGCGCTCAGCAATCCCCGAGGTCTAGTAAGCCACACTCAGGGCAGCCCGCTCGGATAATCATCGCGGCGAACTAAATATTACTTTTTCATATCAGTATCTGGTAATATTTTTTGTCCAGATCGAGGGAGCTGAACAAGTGCAGCCAAACATGCTACTTTCTACTGAACAAAAATTCAGTGAGTTAGCGGTTGTGAAGTACTTGTTGCTTAACTAAGTTAGTTATAAGAGTGCTCAGAAGGTGCTCACTACGCTACTTACCGTTAACTCTTCTGACACAGAGAATCGGCATCAGATGCCTTTCCTGCTATCTATCACAAAATTCAGCTTGTGTTTCTTTTTAAAAAGCGTCAACGACGTCACAATGTTCCCTAAGTATGGTTCATTACCGTATGACACGAAATTTGATTTTGGGAACCCAGTCGAATTCATGGCTCACACCCATCCAAAACGCATGGCGGGTCGTTTCTCGGCAAGTCGATATAAAATTCCAATCGTTCTGGATAGCAGTACCACTTTTCACACTCACTGTCTCCTCTAGCAGACTAATTCATGACGGATGATAAGACCAGGTTTTCCCTTTGGTATCGACAGTACCATTTGGGTGATTTCACTATATTACGATTACCCATAAAGTGGCTACTTAAACTTAAAGAGGGCTTTTACCGGAGGTAATTAGGAGAACATACAAACCTGGAATAGCTCCGGTCAAGCCGTTAGCGAGCAAAAAACTGTCTTGCCACTCGCCCGTGGAGCATCCACGGCGTCACTGCGCGATAGGACAGTGCCAACGTCGTAGTTTCGTTACACCATGTCAAGGATGAACATTTATAGAGGCCTGATCCATCTAGTTTTGGCTCACAGTCGTCCTATAACTACACCGGCATTAAAACGCAAGATTGCGAGACCCAGTAGCTTCAACACTCATCGGACCCCGATACAGAAAACCTAAGTTAATAGCTTCTCGAGAAGGACCAAATTTTTGACCAAATGTATTGCCATCCCAGCTTCCTCATCCAAAAAATATGTTTCCATTCCTTCTTTCATAGGATTGGGCTTTTAGCGTCTGTGGCCTTACGATGGGTTCCATCTCATTTTTAACCGGTCCCCAGCTAAGGTGTTTAGCTGGAGGAATCTCACCTGTGCATTCTCGTAGCTACTACTCGGTTATGAGATCAACTATACGTCCTACCAGGTATAACAAATTCTTCGCGCATTTTGACCACAGAAAGCAACAACCTAACAAAAAAATTGAGTTTGTGCTCAACACCGAGTAGCGGAAGTGAGAGCTTCCAATATGACAAGCTTAGCTACCCAGGTTGTAATACTGAGATAAAACTGACTAGACTCATAAGGTACATACTTTTGAGTATCTCGCATATAAACTGTCATTATACTTGACGTGTGCTGGTTAGCCACGTTTTCCACGGACCTCTCCTTTTCGGATTGTCATCACTTTTGGATTTTCACTGCTTTGATACCAACAAAGATGTAAACTTACACAGAAATGCAATGTGAACATTGTACAATTGCACAAAAGTACAGAACATTTTGGGTTACACTAAAGTTATCTCACCGACCTGTCGTAGCCAACGATGGCAGCAGACGCAATGTCTTAAAATGACAGAAACATTCAACCCCAGCGTGTTCCACATTTCAGATGGGTAGGGCGTAACGGCGCACGCATTGCATATACGCATTACACTTCCCTTGGCAAACTATGAGTGTTCAGGTAGTGATACAGATTTAGTCTGTATAGCAGATTTTTTTGGAACAATCGGGCTACTTGCTCACGCTATGTATATCATAGGATTGCATCATTGTCGATAGAAAAATGGATATTCTTCGCTTTAATCCAAGCTATCTTAATAGACCCCAACTCTCAATATTACAGCAAACGAATCACTGCATATCCGAAGTCTATCGGTTCCAAATCTGAGTGGTGCGTACATGCTCATCCGCTTTGCGTCATTAAACGTGGGCGTATGAGATCACAGCTTCGTTTGCATGATGTACACCACAACCCATAGCTGGTTACCTGGCTTAGTCGACCTTTACTCTTGACCTCTTTATCGGTTGCTGAGTGTGCAGTGCTGCACACGGTGTCGATTCTCTTCCACACCTCCTGCCAAGCTCGACCTTCCACAGGCGCGAACAACGCGTGCCTGCGTTGGGCTTAATCTATAAAAATGCCTCGCCGGGTGAGTTACTGATGGCTGGCTACTTCTCCTGCATGCCCCTGAAGGGCAACGCAATCACCGAGGGTCGTTTCATTTCGCTTTAGTATAGATGTGAATTTTTAGTAATTAGCGATAAATTCATTTGTTTTTGTATAGAACTTAAGACCAAGGATTTCCTAGAAAAGTTTTTCTGCTTATATTGCTGCTGGCAATTACTCTTTGTCGGTGTACAGATAACTGGCAAAGAATGAACGCACACCACTACTTTCGAGGGCGAAAGCTTTAAAGTACCCACACGTTTACTAGTTCGTTATAGGAATCAGCAATCTTAAGAAATTATTGCACCACATTTCAGAAAGAAAGGACAGAATTCTTGCAGAAAGTACGATGTGTCGGTGATACTTTTTTTCTGTGATATTTTTTTTCGTTTTGAGGGTTTTACGAGCGGAGAAATACATTAGTATGAGAGTTTCAATTAACTTATATGGTCGTACTTGATTTAATCTTCACAAGACGAGCTTTATCAGAGCGCACATAGAGTCGTAAGCTATACAGACGTAGGGTTGTAAAGATCGTGTAAAATACAGTTTTGGTAACATTAAAAAAACGCAAGGAACAAATTAATATTAATAAACGCTAAATTCCGTAAAACTTGCTTTGATTAAAAATATGGTCCATATCATCGTGCCTTTTATAATTGATTATGTCTTTTTGCAGGACTGAAGAACTCATCCCAAGATATATAATATATCCGGAGGCGTTGGACACCGCAAAAATCCATTTCCAAGTCAAGCAAATCTCTAATATTTACTGTACCACCTGTCATGCACTTAATATGAGCTGCCAGTACCCACATCTCAGCATTCTCTAATTCTCAACGCACCGTAACAGCTACAACATCTTCTACGATATCATGTGCATTCCAGTTCCGTGTGGCGACGACCTTTGTTGGTGTCTTTGTGGTGCACTCACCGCCTGCTGTTGCTGTCGTGGCGGAGGCCACCGAAGCTACCGCCGTCCACCCTCGCGCGAGCGTGTCGTTTACGTGCAGCCCGTTGTTGTTCAAAAAGGACCACCACGCCGTCACGGTCGCTTTCATTAACAAGCGACACATGCAAAGAAGGCCTGGATCGATCTGCTGCGAGCCACATGCGTCATCACGCAAGCCTTCCATCGATAGACCGCTGCAATCATGTACAGTAAAAATATCACGTTTTTTATGTTACTATTGCGCATCGTCTTGTAGTTTTTCGTTTCCTTCGACATGGCGCCTTACTTGATGTTCTCGTGGATTGCAGACCATGAGAAATGATTTCATTGCATGGTGGTATGTACGAATGTTGCTAAACTTTTGTATTTCTATGCTCCGCGACACCTTTCATCTTAAATATATGGATCATCTTCCATCTTCTACTACACTAGACCCTGCTCGACTTGGTATTAAGTGATGATCTCGAGAAATAGCTTTGAGTGATTGCCATCGGCTGGTGCTCGTGCATCGTTGTCTACTCACATCAGTAGTTTGTAGTTAGTGTCATGGGTATTAAATCAATACCAAATGTCTACCAGTAATACTACTATTGCGAATATTGCACAGTAAATTCCTCATACTTTATATTTACAAACTGTGTTATAATACCGCATCATATATCAATTCCGTCCTTGTAAGCAAAAGTATAAACTATATATTCGTTCGACATCATCGCGAGCTATATTATTACTAGCTAGCGAAATAGTAGATTCGTTCCGCGAACTATTCTGTGTATTACTTACTGAACGATGTCATTCCATCGACCTAATTTTCCTCGATATGCATATCGTTCACGAATCTTGGCATTTTTGTCAAATAGCACACATGCCATCTTTGGATTCTCGACGTCATCACCAACACCCCGGCAGAACACAATTCCTTCGTCAGGTAATTCAATCATCACCCTCGTGTTATCATAGCCCCAGTCGTGCTCTTCGCGAATATTGTACTTGTATCTCTGGCTCGCATCACTCATTGAGAGGTAGACATTAGGATCGTCTCCCACACATCGAGCGTAATGGACATCACTGTACCTAGTAAGTTGGGTCAACAAAGTGTAATACGTCAGATAAAAGCATCTCATTTACCAACTTGAACGTACCATCCACGACGAAATCCTTTTAAGTAAACATCATCAGGGTAACCAATATCCAATACACACACACCAGAAGAACTAGTAGTAGCACGAGTTTCTACAGTACCGGTTGTTGGATAAAGACGCAAAATCATTAGGTCTTCTTCCTTTGACGGTGGAGGAGACAAGTTCTGTTGCAATAGTTTTATGATGGATATCAGAGAATGTATTGCAAAATGACTATACAGCTTTGAAACGTACCTCAAGATCTAGGACCACCAACATTCCTGGTGCTAGCCGCTGACTAGCGTCCCTACATGGAGAAAAGATCCGAAATGATGCACGAAAACTCTCATCGAAAGCAAGATCGGCAATTTTGGCTCCTGTCCACCCCACAGACATCGTGGTGTCGGATTTTGAGAATGCTAACAATTTGTCACCGTAGAATGCCAGCTCCTTCAGCGCATGGGAACATACTTGCTGCACATACACAGCTTTTGTAGCCGCGTAGTGAATGCCATTTGCGCGCAGTGTCAAGCCAACGGAAGACGCAGTTTTTGAGCATATCATATATCGCTCTGATCCAACTTCTACCCGGTTCAAATGTGGATCTTCTAGTCTTGATCGTCCACAATTGGGTAGGGTTGCTATATTCGAGAGTGCCATGACGAAATTTTGCGATTCTTGGGTCAGAATAACTCCACAAGATAGTAGAAATTCTGTCACCTCGGTGGCTAACGAAGACTCGAGCATTCTCGCACATTGGATCGCTGAAAGTCCACTTTGGCTCAAAGCTAAAATCTCTTTTAAAAAAGTATCTAATGGCAAGAAGGCAATCATCATTTTATAAAATTTACGATCGCCTATCGCTGCAGCATAGTGGAATGGTTGGAGCTGTAGAATGTGAGCTTGGTCTAGGAGCTGAAGAAGCTCGGCCGTGTCAGGTGTTTGTTTTGCATGTGATACCAATCTCTCGACGCTCATCCTCGAATCCAAATCGACATGATTGATACTAGCATAGCTAGCGCTTGGTTGCGTATTCAATTCACAACGAGGATGCAAAGACGCTATGAGCTGCATGTTGAGTGTAAGAATGACGAGATCTGAATGCAAGTGAGCCTTTCCATGCAAGCTCCACGATATGAATGCAAGTGAGAGAGTTCTACGAAAGGCATGAGAAATATGATAGATTTTGTAGCATATTTAATTTTTTATGTGTAGTAGTCATATTTTTGTATGATTTAATGATCCCAATTTTTTTGGGGCTAAAAAGAAGAAATGACTACGAGCTGGCAAGTGCTGAAGTATCAGCCTTGGACTAGTGCACCCGATATTTCCTTCTGGCAGACTCTTGCATCGCATAAACTCAATCACTTCCAGCTAGATGATAAAGCACAGGTAGAATTTAATCAGGTGACTATGGATGACTTTTTGAAATTTATTTACTCGATACAGAACATTATAGGATATTTCACTCCAGGCAGATCCATCACTGTCCCGGGGCGTTTTACTATTGATGCAAGTGCATTTTGGAACACAGAAGGGAGCAGGTATGATGTGATATAAAGGCAGAATCGTTTTGTATGACATGCATAATATTACTTGACAGAGATATCGATCGTGCTCGGTACGAGTGGCAAGCACCGGGAGTGTTGTATAATACAAACACATTAGAAGTGAGTATTTCAGTGATTGGACATTGATAAAGAGAACTGATTTTTCGTTCTGTATCTTTGATCACTACAGAATTTCAAAACCCTAGACAAGACTAAATTACTCCAAGAGGCTGGAGACAAGATCTTAGATCTCGTGCTCGATAGTGAGCGTGATGACATTTCAACTGATCATCTAAACAGCTTTGTACTCATCACTTTTGCCGATCTTAAGAAACACTCTTTTCTGTACTGGTTTGGGTTTCCAGCTTTATTACCATTCACTTCATTCCAGTATCGATCTCCACCTGTGTCTGCATCGTCCGTCTTGTCATCCAAAGAGCAAGTTGAGACATTGCGAGAGTTAATACAGCTGCGGCAAGTTAATGAGGAAACTGGCGTTGTCGAAAGCACTTTTCCACCCTTTTTCATCGTCGAGCGTCTGTTTGACAGCATAACAAATGAAATAAATGTACGAGTCGTCGATATCAAGACATGGAGAGCAAACAATCATACTCGTGAAAGCGTAGCAGAAACGTTCTTTGGCTTTGTCGATCCGTGTCCTTTGCCAACAAATCCTGGTTGGCCTCTTCGTAATTTTCTGGCATTTCTCACGTCGCTGTCTGTCGATAAAGTGGACCATTCTCGCCCTCTAAGGATTATTTCGTTTCGAGAACATGTGCATCAGTTCAGTGACGTACCAGACGATTTCGAATGGAAGAATTCGATCGTTTTCGAGGTTCAAAGTGAACCATTCATGGCAAATGGTCGATCTCGTCAAGATGTGCGGGTAACGGGTTGGGAAGCCAATGTTCGTGGAAAAATGGGACCCCGATTGATGGAACTGAGCAGCAGTTTGGATCCTATTCGCTTGGCTGAAACGTCTGTGGATCTGAACTTGAAACTCATGCGATGGCGTCAATTGCCAACGCTAGACTTGGAGTCATTAGCTCAAACCAAGTGCCTCTTATTAGGTGCAGGCACTCTTGGTTGCTACACTGCTCGTAGTTTATTATCTTGGGGCTTTCGTTACGTCACTTTGGTTGATAACTCGACCGTCAGTCACTCAAATCCTGTTCGTCAGCCATTGTTTGAGTTTCAGGACGTTGGTAAACCAAAAGCCGAATGTGCTGCGAACGCTTTGAAAAGGATCTTTCCACTAATTCATTCTCAAGCTGTGAACTTGACTATTCCCATGGCAGGTCACGCACTGAGTAGCTCTCAGTTATTACAGGAAGCCACAGCAAGTCTCGAGGTTTTGGAACAGTTAATTCAGTCACACGATGTAGTTTTTCTCGGAACGGATTCTCGGGAAAGTCGTTGGCTTCCGACAGTCATCGCAGCTGCAAAGAAGAAACTGCTGTTGAATGCTGCACTTGGATTTGACAGCTATTTGGTCTTACGTCATGGTGTTCACAAAGAGGAAGAAGACGATACATCGCTTGGATGCTACTTTTGCAACGATATTGTGAGTCCTCGAGACTCGATAAAAGATCGTACACTAGACCAGATGTGTACTGTAACTCGACCAGGTCTTGCTCCGATTGCAGCTGCTACAGCTGTTGAACTTCTCGTAGCAGTCTTGCACTCACCGGACGGAAAGTTCGTGAGTGCTGACAAGCCAAAAGATGGATCAGCTCCAATGGCGTATATCCCGCACCAACTTCGTGGCTTTCTCAATGCATTTCAAACGATGGTGATTACGGGCGAAGCGTTTGATAAATGCATTGCATGTAGTTCAAAGGTTTTGGATGCATACCGTACTGATGCAGTAGAGTTGCTTAAAAACGCGTGCGATTCGACAACATATCTGGAGGAACTCACGGGGTTAAATAAGTTGACGGAAGAAGCAGATTCTGTGATTTTCGACTTGGAAGATAGTGATGAAGATGGAGAGATGATGTAGAGAAAATATCACTTAAAGTTGTATACGTGCTAACTGTTGACATATAGTGTGGTTTTTTACATTTATCTGGGTCAAGTGCCTTAGATTTTCCGTATTCGTTGTACAGGTGTCAGTGGCGTCACATTAGTCGTAACAAGTTTTTCCTTAATACTAATGAGTTCAATACGAAAGACAAGAGCAGCGTTGGGGGGAATACAAGGTGGTTGGCCTTTGACACCGTAAGCCAAGGCCGGACCGATTGTGACTTGCGCCGTCTCTCCAACACTCATTCGTTGCAGTGCCAAATCAAAACCTAGAATCAGGTGGCCCACACCCACGCAAAGTTCGAGCGCACTACCACATCGCTTTCGAGTCGACTCAAAAACTTTCCCCGTATCTAGAAACGTCGCAACATAGTGAACACGTGCGAATTGACCAACAAGTGGAAAATTACATCCATCTCCTTGAAAATCAACAAGAATCTTAAGTCCCTCGACTGGAGCAAGACGCGCTCGTTCTATTGCAGCGACTTCTGCCTGATGCTTTGCATAGATGGCTCGATCTGTGGCTAGTTGCTGCTGCTTGCTAAGTTCGCGACGTTTTTGACGCTCGCGCTGGTCGTCCCTTCGTTTTTGCTCGGCAATTTGGTCAGCATTGAGCCAATCGTAAAACTTTTGACGTGAAGCGTGGACAACGTCATCCAATCCTTTAAGAATGCCTTGAGTAATGCCAAGATCCAAGAGTGCAGCAAACGAAGATTTTGAATCGGAAGCATCACTTCTAGTCATTGACGCTACAATGTAAAGGAATTCATTAAACTCGATTTTACCACTTTTGTCCTTGTCCACTTCACGCAGCATGGCTGATACATCAAAGTCAATACTTTGTCGACCGAATTTCTTGATTATCTGTTGCAGCTCCATTTCATCGATTGACCCACTGCCGTCGCTGTCAAGAATTTGAAATTGTTGCTTGAGTTGTGCTAGTTCCTTTGGTCCAAAGAGAAGAGCAAGCTCTAAGGAAACTGAGTACGGATTCTTGTCATGTTGTGTCCGTAGCATATGGAGGAAAGCATCAAAAGTCACTTCGCCACTTTGATCTGTACCCACTGCTTTCATGAGATCTCGAACGTTGGCTAATGTGAGCTCTTCGCCGAGATGAGTCAAAAGCTGGTGGAGCTCAGAAGCCGAGAGGGATGCACTTGAGTCTGTATCGTAGTGCGCAAACTGTTCCCGAGCTATTGCCAGCTCTTGTGTCGTAAAACCTCGAGCGTCGTCACCTTGTGTTCCTTCAATTATGTCTTGTTCACTTGTGTCCTTTACTTCTTCAAGAAGAGTACTGCTTACTTCATCGTGACTTTGGTAAATTGCCGTCACTTCAATATCCTGTCCGTTATAAAGTGAACGAGGCTTCTCCCATGTCGTCTCACCTGTGCGTTTATCAAGATAGTACTCTTGTCCCGAGTCAGCATCATAATATTTCTCAAAGACGAAAGTCACTAAATGATGCAATCGCTTTCGCGCTTGACGACAACGAACCATGCGCTGCAAACATGCAGCTGCGTCGTGTTCGCGCGCGTCTTGCGACACAGAAGTCATTTCTTCCATGTCAGATGAAAAGGTATCTAACGTCCCTACGCTACAAATCGTAAATAGTTCATTTGACCCATTTAAGTCTGAAGTTTGATTATTAATTGTTTCCAAATGTTATCCTTCATCTCTTGTTCACCTACTAATGAAAAACATATCTATCGTAGCTGCAAGATGGTCGGGATCTATCAGAATGTAATGCGCAAGTTTCTTCCGCAGCGCCACGGTGCGTGACGCTTTTGTGTCCTAACTACGCGCAAAAGCGTCACGCAATAATTACTTCTACATGAACGCTTCTTCGTCAAAGTCCGAGTCGTCATCAATCTCGTAATCCATTTCCATGAAATCCACTTTCCATCGCAAAATGCCTCCAATGCCACCAAATCCTTGACAAAACTGCGAACCTTCTTGCGATCGCGCAGTTACAAATTCAAGCGTCGTACCGAATTGCTTGTAATTGTTTGCAAACCATTCCACAAGTGGCACACGCTCGACCGTTTCCAGCTTCGCACCAGTCTCTGAGTCCACAAAATTCGAGTACACACTTTCTTCTGACGGTGACAAGATTTTGATCGATTCGACGCCCGTCGTCTCGTTTCGCAACGTGTACCGATGATGAGGCAAATCTTCCCACAAAATGAGCGTTTCAACGGCACCAAGATCCAGTGCTTTCATCGTATCCGTCACGCCAAAGCAATACTTTCCCGAATCTTGAGCAATCTCTTCCATATAACTCACAATGAGCTTCTTCTCTTGTACAAATTTTACATTTGCTAGAGTCTCGGCAGCTAGTTCAATCGCTTGATTAAATCCATTCTCACCACCGTAGGACACATCCACGACCTTCACGACAATAGCAGCCAATCGCTTGTCAAACAAGTCCGACCCATTGAGTTCGTTTTTAAAATCCGCAGATCCTGCAAGCACTAAGTTCGAAATATTAGGCTGATCATTCGTAATAAACATTTGCGTCGCCGTTTCCGCGACTTTTCGCACGTAATTATGACGTTTCTCAAGACGCAATCGCGCAAAACGCAGCGCTGATTGACCACCACGTCCATGCTTTTTCGGTAAATCCACCGAAAATTTGTGCAAAATTTCACGGTTACTACCCGAGACAGTACCATAGAGTGCACCATTACCATCCATGACAATAAAGCCAAAACGATCTTGGTCTTGCATGAGTTCTCCAAGTGCCTCGGTATGAAACTTGTTGTCACACATGTAGAGCGACGTATTAATGGGACGAAAAGGCTCAAAATCAATATTCACGCGCTTTTCTTTGCCTTCGTCAGTTATGATAGTACCACAGTAAATAATAAGACCATTTGGTGGGCACTTGTTGTACAACTTCAGTCGCTGCTGTGTTGATGTGATCGCACCAAGAACCGACAGTCGGTTCACACGGGACTTGATGTTGGACGCTGTGCCCATTTCATCAGACAACATCTTGGCTATAAGCGGAATCTGTTGCTTAGGCGGGATAATGAGCGAAATCATACTCGTACCATTCCTTTACATCATATTATCATACATTAAGGATATCGGGGCATAAATGTTATCATTATCAAATAACGCACCCGCGTGCGGCTTGAAGAGACTTAATTAGCTTCTTCACTTTGAAGAGTTCCACTTGGTCGTCGGCGGCGTTAGAGGTAGACATGTCGTAACGATGGAAGGCGAGTTGAGATTTTATGCACTTGTTAGTACCACTGAAGTCTTATGCTACATCATAGATACGAATTTGCAACAGCCAGTCAAAAACAATTCTTCATCTTAATTACAAAATACCACGTAGGACCTTCATTCTTCGGTTAGTTGGAAATTTTCAAGTATAAAAAGAGCTTGAGTCCGCACGATGGTGCTCGTGTGGAATGTCGCGTACAAGGTGCAGCGCATGTGGTAAGACATCAACAATTGTCGAAAAGTTCTCAGCAACTGCTTTCGGTTTTCCAGGTAATGTAACAATCAATGTCTTTTTTCGAATGCCCGCTACAGGCCGAGACAGCACAGCTTTTGCTGTGATCTTTAGTGATCTCTCAAGCATTGCAATGGGGAATCCAGGGATTTCTTTCTCGAGCACACCTTTAATTGCCTCTGGAGTAACATCACGCGGACTGAAACCCGTCCCACCTGAAGTCAGTATCAGATCTACTGTGTCCGAGTCCGCCCACTCCTTGACCACTGTTTGGATCTGATTCATGTCATCCGACACAATCTTCACATGCTCAACCTTGATCTTAACACGGTTCACTTCTTGAAGCACACGAAGCATTGCTGGTCCACTTAAATCAACCGATGTACCAGCAAATACACGGTCACTAATCTGCGCAAGCCAAATGACAAGAAGTATAGTGTAAAAGCAAGCAGTAGCAGTACATTTTACGCGCTCGTACCGTTATAAGTCCAGCACGAAAGACTGTCTGGGTAGTGTCAGATTTTACTGGTGTCATTTGCTCAGACCTCTGTGTTTCAACACTTCGTCTAGGACTTTTGCGATTCATGTCATTTCGAACGTTGCCAAAGCTATCTAGAATTAGAGCAGCGACAGCATCACCATCACGCACTTCTGTACCGATTGGCAAACAAAGTAGAGCATTCGCATTGCGACAGCTAGCATAAATCAAGCACAGATATGTTATGTCACAGCTGTGTAAAGGTTACTAAGATTCTGTACCTTAGCAACCGCGAGCTTATCTGGCGTCCAGTGCTGGTAGCTAAGAATTTGTGTTGGCTGCCGTCCCATTGTAAATTAGCTCGATGATATTCTGGACGTTCAGCATCCAGTTTGATCGAGTGTGTGAGCGTTGCATAGATTGTTGTGTGATAGCACTTTGTAATAGGTGATCCACGAAGTCGTTTTAGTGCCGGATGAACTAGCAGATGACATGTCGTGAACGAGCTTACTGGATTACCCGGAAGAGCAAACACCATCTTCTTTTTGCCTTCTAGTTCTAATGTAGCAAATGTACTGGGTTTTCCAGGTTTCATGAACAATCTCCCGAAATGAATTGTCCCCACTTCTTCTAGCAAAGGCTTGATGAGATCGAACTCTCCCATACTTACGCCACCACTTGTAATTAACACGTCAACATTCTCGAGTGCTTTAAAAACCGTGTCTCGCAATGCGTGTTTTTGATCATTGCACACGCCTAAATCAAGTGTCTGGACCTCCCAATCACGTAGCAATGCTAGCAGCATTGGACGGTTACTGTCTCGAATTTTACCAGGTGTTGTCGTCTCATCAAAAGCTTCCACAAGCTCACTACCAGTCGACAGAACACCAACTACAGGTTTTCGATGCACTTGAACGTGAGTGATTCCAGCCTACACTTTGACGTTAACACGACCATTTCGCCTAAAGGAAATCCAGGACCTACCGTTGCCAGCAGCCCAATCTCTGCAGCAGTCACGACTTCATGGTCATCTACAAGCAATTCTCCAGGTTTAATATCTGATCCTATTGCCCGAATGTTCTGTCCTGATTTTACTGGTTTCAAAATTTCTATTGTAGTTTCTCGATTGTCACTGTCTTTATTGCTGCTTGTATCTTCGACTTTTACCACAGCATCAGCTCCATCTGGAACGGGAGATCCCGTTGTGATGTATGACACTTGACCAGGTTCCAATTTTTTTAACGGCATACCACCCGCTGCGATGCGTTCCACCACAGGAAACTACACCAAAATGGTCAGATCTTCACCAAGGTAAAGCAAATCTTTTTAACATACCGTGCCCACTCCATCCGCTGCAACAACCGCATAACCATCCATGATACTTGCACGAAATGCTGGAAATGGTTCCTGCATAATTTATAGACATGATTATGGTATTGATGCAATATATTGTAGAATCTATTACTCACAACGCTAAGAACCGGTTCCGCCAATACAAATCCTTTGGCCTCATTTGCCTGAATCTTGACAACTTCTAGCGGCTGTGATTGTTCGAGCACTATCTCCACTGCGTTCTTCACGTGAATCATGTCATATGCACTCTCCCGTCGCGTGACCGACAAGCCCTCATCGCCACAGTCACACATGACTTTCAATAATTATTCTTTAGAAACTCAAAAGTTGATACATTGTACCGGTATCAATATAACAGTAAAAATTGCACTTATGACGCCGCGTATGCTGCTGCTGACGCTAGTGCTCGTGGCTTCTCCTGTTAAGTCATTGATTAACTCCTTCGTCAATTCTGAGGCGACTACTGTTGTTAAAGAGCGAAATTTGCAACGCAATCTGGTTGATGACCAGGTGCGAATAATGTTCTGTACAGCGTGCGGCTACGAGCAGAATTTCCATCAGGTCAAAATATATCTGGAGGATACATTCCCCCACTTGGTGGATAGAGTGTATGGGGCGAACTATGAAGCCGATTCGTTCAAAATGGTGCGATAAGTTAAGAATCCAATAAAAGAGGACAAGTGTAACATTAGATGGGTCATCCAGATGCTGGCACGGATTCTGGGATACGCACAAATGGTGGCGATACCGCTGCTTTTATTTGGTGATTACGTGAGTTTAAATATGACTTCGCGTTTATTTGAAGATCTGATTTTGTATGTCAGCTATTACCGAGTTTGGGAGTAGTAAATGTCTCGATGCTGCGCTGGGCACGAGAGAATCGCATTGTGGCTATATTTATTGTCGTGGCGATGGGGGCCTTGGCAAGTAGTTTGACGGCATCTGGAGCATTTGAGATTTACTTCAATGGTACGTGATGGACATTAAGGTGCTGAACTATTCAGTTCTAATAGTGTAATGATTCTAGACGATCTGATCTTTTCTAAACTTCAAACTGGGCGGTGGCCGACGCTGCAGGTAATTTTGTCAGAGATAAAGAAGTATGCTTGATACATCAAATTAACCATTTAGTGTTGCTATACATGTTTACAATATTGTAGGAGGTTTCCGATTCAATCAAAAAGTATGGACTGCTTGATAGCGTAGCTGATTGATTAGGCGTACTTTATTCTTTCTAATGCACGTAACCACATTTACATCAACATTTGACTTTTATAGTAAATCACTCACTAGATCAATATCATAACTCGCAACCTGCACGGGAGGACAGATGTGGAAAACCACATCGTTCATTTGAGAGCGGTGCTCGAGTGCATGCGCACAAATAAACTGTATGCTAATGCTGATAAGTGCATCTTCGCCGCGGAAGAATTGTTTCTTAGAGTGATTCATTGGGAAGCGTGGCCTTCGAGCGGGTCCCGCTACGGTCAAGGCCATTGTAGACTGGCCGGTTCCAAATAACCAACCGGATTTGCGCAAGTGGCTTGGCCTCGCCAACTAACTACTTGCACAAGTATAGCGCAAATTATGCCGAAATGGCACGGCCATTATCTTATCTCCTTAGGATGGATACAGAATGGTTTTGGGACACCGAGCGTCGGGAGGCTTTGACAGGGTCAAAGACAGCCTTTTTCATGCACAAATACTGGCATTGCCAGACCTCGATCGTCCTTTTATTGTCGTCTGTGACGCTTCGGACTTTGCCATGAGCTGTGCACTGCTACAAGCTGACGCCGAGGAGCGAGGTCGGAGGACAACGTCTCGGGAGCAAGGAGTGTGGTAACTCGGACAAGAAATTTTCGGCGCGTTTGCAAACACAATTACATCGATATTCGTTGAGTAACGGATTGCTGTATAAGAGCTGCGATCCAATGGAATTGTGGTTCCTCACGAAGAGGATTTGGAATATTATTATTCTTTATGAGGCCCACGACACCCCACTTAGTGGTCATCTCGGTCGTGAGAAGACGCATAGCTCGGTGAGTTGACACTATTGGTGGTCCAAGCAGTACACGTGGACGACCACGTGTGAACGTGTGAGACGTGTCAGAGGGTGAAACTCTCTCTGAATGCGGCGGCGCAGCTGGCCAGTTTACCGTGCACCTCCGGGTGTTGCCAGTCCATGAGTATAGACTTTGTTTTTGCAACACGGGTGCACTAGTCTTTGTGGATCTTCTTGCGGCAAGTGCCGGTCACCATCGTCGGTGTGAGTACAGCGACGCTGTTTGTCAATCGTATCTTTCGACAACATGGACTACCGGAGTCAGTTGTCTCTGATAGAGAGTCGCGCTTCACTGAGAGTTTTGGTCCACTATCTTCAGGATGCTGGGTGCCAAGTTGACTATGTCAACAGCGGACCATCCGCAGACCGATGGTCGGACTGAGCGCGTGAATTGCGTTATTGAGGACGCTCTTCGCAGCGTCTGCGCTGAGACGTCGAAGCGCTGGAGCGCTATGTGCCACTCATAGAGTTTGATACGAACAATGTCGTCCATTCATCTTCCGGCTATACGCCGCTCTACGTGATGGGCTTATTAATCCTCGCGTCCGGCAGCAGCCGCCATGTCATGGCTTATGGCTTGGAGGGGGAGGAATAGCCGAACGGCTAGCTGATGTCAGCTCCCTCACCGTGTGTAAGGAAGTCGGAGACTTCCTGTCTACCAGACTGAGTGTATTACGACACGTTCGCAATGCGATGGCTGAAAACGAAGACATGTAGAAGAATATGCAGACGGAAAAGGAAGAGGAAATGTTAAAAACGTTGAGGTCGGAGATCTGGTTTTATTAAATGCTAAAAACCTTCCTTCGCATGCAATTTCTGCTATCTTAAAGTCGAAGCTCCGTCCACCGGGGTCCGGCGCAAGTGAACGCAGAAGCATTGGAGCCGGAGCGGCGACCAATGGCGCTCGGTCACCCAGAAGTCGAGCCAGCGACTAGTTCTGAGCACGAGGAGCAACAACTTTCGTTTTTATGGTGTAAGGTGCTCCACTGTCGCATGAAGTGACGTATTCGTTCGCTCTACGGCCAGAAGCCGCTCCGACAGTGCTGGATAATCCTCAACGCGAGGCAGTCGATGTACAAAGTGCTTCAGTCTCTCGAGGTCTTCCGCACAGCGGTAGACGACCTCAGAGAGATGCTCAGCAGAGTGCCGATGACGACGGACTTTGTCCTCTCACCGGACGGCGATCGATCAAGTCGTTATTGTCCGCCGCCGAGACTTTTCGACGAAAATAATGGCGTCCACAACGACGTGGAGCGCTTTATGGGTCGACGTCGTCGCCTGGATTTAACTCAATACCTTGTGAAGTGGCGTGGATTCCAAACTCCGAGAACTCGTGGAGGTTTGAGGTGCCACATCAGCAAGACTGCCCATACGTCGTGGACGCTTATGATCAAAATTATCATGACGCTTTGCGTCCTCTTGTGCACCGCGCTTCTCGGCAGTAGCCGGGATGCTGGAGGGCCATGAGATGAGGTCAAAGCTATGGCCCTGAGCCGCTGTGGTCGTAGACTCACCCGTGTGAGAAACCATAGAGCTCGTATGAGCGTTATGGATTGTTCAATATGTCGCAGGGCGACAATACGCAGGGAGCCGGCATTGTTCCTTGAGTTTGGCAAACTCAAATCTAAGATGGTGGTCAACGCGCATCCACTTCATTGTGGCTTCGCTGTAAGGTAGACAGCGAAGAAAGTTTATGATGCCGCTGCACCCATCGCTCAAAGACCTCATCGTCATCTACAGCGGTTTCGCCAGGGGCGAGCACCACAGGGCTGGTTCGCATTGCTGGAAAAGGATTACCTCATTTTTGAGCTCGAAGTCGAGCGCGGTACCTATCCGTAGTGAGGTACCAAGAAGCGAGCCTGCTGAGCTTCTCGCTGATCAAGCTCAGCTTTTGTAGTGGTCGGAGGCACGACTACGTAGACGCCTAACGATCGAGTGATCGCGTCTTTCTCTTTAGTAGCGGGATCTACCGAGCGGTGGCCGCATTCCATACGAGGGTCTAAGACCGAACGTAGATACGAGCGCAGGACAACAGCCCGGTGAGCAGCCTCCAATTGCTGCTCCTGTGCCTCATCGAGGCGATTGGTAATAATAACTCTGCCCCCGGAAGCCGAAAGGTTAGGGAACGGATATGGAAGTCAGCAGGGTTTGAGCTGGGCTCACGTCGCGCCGTAAGCTTCATCTTATAATGGAAAGTAATGTCCGACTCGTAGTCAACTTCCTCCAAGTTCTCGACGAGAAAATCTGCTACCCGGGACGGGCAGCAGATTGTCACGCACAGTCACCGAGGGCTTGGGGTGTGCTTCCCGTGAAGCTCCGGACGTAATGATTGGGGATGCACCCTGTGCAGAAGAAGAAGAAGAAGGAATTTGTCAGCGGGCGCCCTCACTACCAGCTTGACTGGGTGTTTTGCGTGTCGTAGACACAGTGCTCATAGAGCGGAGAGGGTTGCAAGTTGTTCTTAGAAACGCGAACGTGTCTCAGACACGCGGCCTCGTATAAGCGACCGTTAAATGTGAATTGACGATATTCACAATTTTATGGGGAGAGTTTAACGGAGTTATACGTACCCTTATAAGAAAGGGCGGGTCGCACAAGATTGTGCGACCGTACATAGCTGTGTATCACATAATAACACCGTGGTGTGACTACACCGTAACAAGAAGCCACTACGTGGCCGGATGACCAGTAGTACAGCATATTTCTATATTAATCAGGAGAGCTTCTTGACGGCTCTGCCGCAACAAAACCACTTAAATACAGTATCGACTTTGCACAGTAGTGTTTGTTTGCTTTGGTTTAGGTTTTAGTACTTAGTAGTAGTAGTGAATTGCGATTCGCTACACAAGTACTGGTTCCTCGAAAGAACGTCAGGTCGGTAACCTTCAATTAGCTTTCTCTAAGCAGATAGCTACGGCAGCCCGCTGCATGCTGTCCGTTGCTCGCCTTCCCAGCTACAATTCTGCTGTAATTGTGGCTGTTCTTGCTGCTCCTGCGGGTGGACGAACGCCTCTCGTGGTTGCTGCTCCAGCGCTACATGCTGGTAATTTTGCTGTATTGTCTGCTGCTTCATCAGCATGGAGATCTCTTGACGAATCTCATTTTCTGACGAAAGGTCGAAGCGATTCAGATATCTTTGACGAAAAATTTATACGGCCTGATTCTTTTTTCGTTAAAATTTCTTGTTGCCCAAGCAAGAAGAGCTCGCTGGTCTCATCTTTTAATGCACCTATGCACTTACGAACATACATCTCACACCTTCTGGGCCGAACAGCTCATTCGGAAAGGAGCTCAAATGGTATCTGAACGCCTTCGTCGATATCCGAAAGCACTCGTTGATTGCATTGAACGTCATGTCCCTCGTCCGTAACTGCATTCTCTCCAGTGGATTGAAGCTGTAAGGTTTTTCGAATAGCATAAGATACAATGTCCCGTGAATCAACAAGGGCTGCCTGTTGCTCAGGAAGAGGGCGAGGTTGGTGACGCCGCCGTCTCTATCTCCAGCAAATTTGGAATGGGGTTAATATGTAGACGCATGGGAATCAAGATTTTCGGTTGCCATCCCCTGCATTTTGTCATCGTCGTCATCCGACTGCTCTTCAGCACCGTTGTTATCTTCAAGCTCTCCGCGACTTTGTTTTTCCAAGCATATAGTCTCTTCTTCATCCTCTCCTTTACGTCAGAGTATTCTCCTAGACTTCCTTCTTCGACGACTATATACTGCTACTTCTAGTTTTAGGCACGCAAGTATTCTGAGATGGCTAGCACTGAAATGACTTTGCGTCTCCAAACCTTGGGTACTCGTAAGCCGTGGGAGCGAGGGCCGAGCAACTGCAGTACAACGGATCTCAAGCTGTCGGAGATCCCTCCTTATTCTCGCCGAATCGGCGCTCATCTCTACTGTTCGCTTCAGTTGCCTGTCCATTGATTCAACTTGTTTCGCAAGCCCAAAGAGCCGTTCTCGGTTGTGTACAAGCTCCACATTATAATTTAGTACCCAATAATGTGAACTGAGGCCTTCCACTGCCGGTGTTGGTATGACGCAGTTATTGCTTTCTTTTACCCATGACTTTAGCACTTCCTTTGATCTGGCAAAATGAGCATCTAAGATAGACTTGTATCTTGCGTGTCAGTAGGGATGAAGCGCACAATCTTTAACTTGTGCACAATACCCAGGAAGGAGGAATCGAAGGCAACAGTGTGTTGTGGTTGCAGGTGGCGTTATCAGACTGAAGCACCATCCTTCTAACTAGTGAAAGCTCCTATTTCAGTCCCATCAGCATCGTTTCGGTCATTGATACCACGGACTCCTGGTCTTGATTGTCGTCTCCTTCTGAAATATGATCGAAGTAGAATCTGCAACGGGCGCAAGTACCTCCTCCTTGGGTTGTTCGTAGGCGAAGCCCTGCACCATGACATCATGCCAGCTAACCCCCCTCTTGCCGTAATGCTACCGTCTATTCTCGAAGACATATCTGTTCAAGCATCGTCTAGAAGCCTATGTCGACCAAGGCTTCGTCAGAATCTTTACTCTCGGTGCACTTGCTCCTCATATTCCCCAAAATCTTGCTGACAGCAATCTGCTAATTGACTACTCTGATCTCGTGAGCGATAATCAAGCTAAAAGGCATCGCTCATCGATGACAGGGACTGCTGAAGCAAAAGCGCCAGCATCTACCAGGAGACGCTGAGTTTTTGAAGAAGTTAAGGGCCTCCTAACAACCGAGGCAATAGTCCACCAAGCCTTAATCGGCTTCCTCATTTTCGACGATGGCTGTCAGGTAAGAAAGTTCATCAAGCGTCATATGGAGCAGACAATTTGTATCCGATCCTTTGATCTTACGCTCACAGTCGTACTTCAGGAGCGCTTTTATGACCTCCATCTCCTTCATCAAACTGTCTCTAGTACCCCAGTAAGATGCAGACTGTTGATGATCTAATTTATGAGATCAAAAGGGTCATTAGCTAGAAAGCCAGTGACATAATCACCATGCAAAAAATGAGTCCCTGGAACATTAGGCTCCTCCTCACCACTCTGCGACCTGACCTCCCAAACTTCTCTCCATAAACCTGGTAGATGTGAGTCGTCGTCTGCTTTCTCATGATCGCTGTAATATTATGGGTTGGCCATCAAGAAATAGTCTTTAGTGCCCTAGAAGGTGAACGAGACGTTTTCATTGGAGAATATGACGGTCACAGCTTCATTGATCTCTGCGCGCTTGAAACTTTAATGGACCCGCAAGATTGTCATGAGCTTGTTTCCTTGATCAGTGTATTAGAGTCTATGAGCCCCGATTTAAAGCCCTTTCTGGCTTTGAGAAGCTCGGAACGAGTTTCTCAGTAGCCTGTAAAGCCACAGGGCGATGATTCTTGCAAAATGTTGCTCTAATGACTCTCTTCTCTACTGAGCCTTTCTTAGCCCTCGCATAACAGCTGGCAAAACCTCGAGTACGCTCAGCGTCACCATTGCTGCCATATAAGTGCCATCAGTAGTCGATTGACCCGTTGCTTCTTCATCAATAACGCTCCTACTTTGGCAAGCAAATGCGTCGAGTGAAGCCGTCTCAGATTTGCACACAGAACCACACACAGATATAAATAACGACTGCTTCGTATGCCCATAGAACTTCTATAATCCTAGGAGAATCTATAGAACGCCAGTAGGTGGGCTCTTTTCTCACAGCAATGTTTGTTAAGTTGGGGTTGATTGTCTCGGCCTTCCTTGATTCAACGCCAAAAGCTATCAATATGCTACCGAACGTCTATAAGCAGCTCGCGAACATACGAGATGAATCTTAGCTTTCATTCGCTGCATGTGCCTTGCAGTAGTAGATGAAGCTGGTGGTGGTCGCTGTTGCTTCATCATGAGCAACAGCGACCACCACCAGCTTCATAGGGGAGTCTGCTAGCGAGCCTCAGGCATAGGAAGCCGCTTCACGCTTCTTGCGTTTCTTCGAATTTTTGAGGAGGAGCTCCGAAGGCTGACCACCTCATTTTCTGTATATCTTCATAGCCAGAGGAATGCCATCGGCTACATTTCTGACAAGTGCCACATCTAGGAACCTAAGGATGGGATGTGGCATGATGTTCGGAAGAATATCATCAGCTACTAAAAAAATACGATGACTAGATCCCTTCAGATTGTATCAATCGAACGTAGGTAGATGTATCACCGGCTCCATCACAACTAAGTTCGCTTCTGTTAAGCATTAACACCTTCACAGACAAAGATGAAATTCTCTGCTTCCGAAAGATTGAGATGGCCATATACTTGGCTCTACCCTAGAAAGATTTGGCATAGCCCAAAAGCAACCTCTAGATTCGGAGGTCACGTGCGAGAGTGGGTTTACCACATGCAGTTGAGGTTCATGTGTTTCTGTCAAGGAAAGGTAAATTTATCCGAGGGTTGAGAGCTTTGATAGCCATACTATCAGGTGAATGCTTCCGAAATTGGTAGCAGTCACCGTGAACTGAGATTCATCAAACTGGTGCAAAACCCATCTAGGTTCTTTAAATTTAACCCAAATTTATTTAAGGATGCACTATTTGCTACTTTACTGAACACGACTTCAAATCTACAAGGGTCGGTTGGGTTTCGTTAGCAGGCTTTGTAAGTGCGATAGTTCTCGGCCAAGTCACATCTCGGCTTCCCATAGCAGCTTGATAGCCGCAATTTGCTGCATATCCGTCCTGTGTTTCTTCTTTGATCTTATTTATGAAGTACAAAGGTTCAAGTTCCCGTGTATAGCTTGTCGACAGAACCCTAGCAAGAGTAGCGACAAGTAATTCGATTCTTTTCGCCTCTTTTAGTCTTGCACAGGAGACGTGAATGACTAGTGGAATCGAGGGCTTCTTGAAAACAAACAATCGAAGTGACTACCTCATTGCTTCTCGACCATTTTTTCAAAGCTGCCGTCCTCAAGCTGAACTTGAGTATGCTGTATAAGGTCCTGAGCAGATCACTACGCTAACGCCACTTCCGGCAAATAATGACTGACTTTTGGTGGTAAAGTAATTTCATCATTCATTATCCGGAAAACAATCCGACGTCTTTCTTTAAGCGAGATTGGAGCTTATGGCACCTTTTCAAGCTGTTCATGCGACACTTCTCATGTGGGTATGGACGAATAAAGCTCGTTTACGTATAAAGTACATTTTTGAATGCAAATCAACCGCCAGCAATATCGTTACGGCGGATTGACGTTCATGCAACACATTTGTGAATTTGATCACATATACGACCCTCTCGATCATATAGAATGTTAATTCATTGTAAAAAACTATTTTTATAATACAAAGTTACTTGTGCATATTCATGACTACAGTTATTAATTTCTACGACATCCGTATACAGCTCAGCTTTTTGTTGCCGTTACGGCTCACAAACAAAGCGAGAGAAGAGAAGATGCGCGATCTTGTTCCATAGGTACACAAATAAAAATGTGCCTTTAATCTCGCTGTCATCGACTACCAAGCTGATGTTAAGGACGAGGCTGCTGACTCTCAATATCCCGCTACGTTTCTTAATGGAGTCGGCGCGTAACCAGCAGTCAGATCTGTTAAGTCTCAAACATAGTTTTGTCTCTTTGTGGTCTCAGAGCTTAGAAGGATGACTTTAAAATCCTCAAACGGCCTGGGTGGTCAGCATGGGTTCTTTCAAGGTACGATTAATTTGGTATTTTACGGTTGAAGTGATGACGCGACAACGACTTCGGCGGTGGTAGAAATAAGTTGTGACCTCTGTCTAAGGGAAAACAAGTGACTAAACAATATAAGAATACAATATTTGGTATTTTTGTTATATATATGACAAATTTGTTTGTACACTCGAAAAATGAATACCACGCAGAAATTCGGTGACGTGACAATGCCGTGGCCACGAAAATCATCTGGCTTACTTTGTAAACAACGTGTTTGCGAATTTTCTAGAAATCTAATGTTTTACTGAGATACATACGATAGCTGTACGGACTGGAACAAGAAAGTGTCCTCGTTGTATTTGTAAAATAAACAGTAATGTGCGTCTAGTAATCGCAACCTCGACCGTAAATGGCTTTGACTTAAGCAGCAAAGTGGTCATTGTGAACTCGTATGGATGCTTGAGAAACATTATAAATATGTGACTTCCAAGCCACTCAACATTTTACTTCAATAAATTGTTCAAACGTTATAAAAGCGTACACCTAGCACCATATCTGTGCTATAATCTGGCCACCTGTGGACATTATTTTTAATTCTTATGCGACAGATTATAATCTGCAGACTTTGGCTTTACCTCGTCGGGGTTGCTCCTAACTAGGAACACGCTCAATTGTACGTGACTGGGGTATATGAAATTTACTTGCCACTCGTATTCCATACTGCTTCAACTGAACGCTGCTGTGGGCAGGTTGTCGCTGTTTGGTACTCGGATCTGATAGAACCCAATTTACAAAAGTGAGTCAGTCAGATTACCTGGTAAACGTGTTGTAAAATTGAGCCGTGAGTCATTTTCGTCGAATACTTGAACGCGAAAGAAGGGGAAAATTTAAATTTTTGACCGTATTCATCAACACATTTGGCGAATCGATTTGCATCCTTTCGCGTATTTTGCCAGTCAGATCACTCCATTGCGCAACATAAGTTTATGAGACCAGTCTCGGCTATCATATAATGGTCATCTACGTGCATTGTGAACTACGGAAACAATGTTCTTCGGATCCTGCACGATTTCGGATTACATTTCTGTCCTAAGGTCTCTAACACAGCATGATCGCCTAGTACAATATGAAGGACGAATTCTCATTAGCAGCCATAAGGGCTGCTAGTTCTATATAACCGAAATTGCATTCCCGTTGGTATTTGTAGCAAATAAAGCGGTGCTTTCCAGCTTATAGTTGTAACGGGGTCGCCGACACAGCAACTTTGAGTCGGCGGGTCCGCGTAGTTATAGCACACGAAATGGGTTTGTACGCTTAAATCAGAAGTGAAGTTGAGAGCCTCTTGTCAGCTTCCACGCAATATTTTGATCACTACGCACAAAAATGAATTCCTACGCACACCAAAGCAACAAACAAACAAATCACGTGTCATCAGACTTCACTTTTCAAGCGTACCACCCCCTCTCTTATCAGTTTCAAATTTGACGTATCAAAATATTATCGTACTCTTATTTTTTCATTTTAGTGTCATACAGTAAAACCTGTATAAATTAAACATGTTGGGACTGGGGGACAGTGTTTAATTTA